AAAAGTTACAGACACTGTCTATAACTTTTGAAATATAAAACAGCCTAAAACTAACTAAACAGCCTAAGTCTTAGGCTGTTTAGGCAAAAACTAATGAAAATAAAAAAGTAAATACTTCGCAACTACCAACTGTATTTTAGACGTATTTTAAACGCAATAATAAGTTTTACTACATGTTTTAGACGATTAAACACGTTTTGTGTCCGCTGGGTAGTCATTTTCCAAAATATTTTAAATAGATTTAGAAAAATTTTATGAAAAATTAAAAAAAACAAAACAACAACAACAACAACAACAACAACAACAATATAAAATCAAAACAAATCAAATAACAATAAACAAACAATATCAAAAAAAATAAAAAATAAAAAAAATAAAATCAAAACAAATCAAATAACAAATAAATAAACAATAACAAAAAAAATCAAAACAACAACAATTTAATCATCTGATAATAGATTCCTCACATATATATTGCGCTTGCGCATTACGTGTAAATTAAAATACGCAGCTAAAGCTGTTATTTTACTTGCTTCAAAAACGGAGAATTTGGAGGTATTTTAAATCTTTGCTGTACACGATACAAATGAAATAAAACTCTTTAATAAATATTATTTTTATTAACTTAAAGTTTAATAAGTAGAAAAAATCTTAAAAAAAAAAAAATTCATACGTGAAGCTGACTCACCTGTCAAGTTAACCGAGACTTACCTGTCAAGTTAACCGAGATTTTATGGCGGATTTTACTATCAGTTTTATTCATAGCTTTCTCTAATAGAAGAGAACGATATGGTCTTATTCTTTAATAAAACTTATAAAGATCAATTTTTTAAATGAAGTGTACCACCTTAAGTCATCTTTAAGTCATCGACATCTTTAAAAAAGTTACCTTAAGTACCTTTTACAAACATATTAAATATATAAGTAATTTAAAAAATATAATTTTATGATGCAATATTACTTTATTTTTTTTCTTCGAGGCATGATCGATGGTTTTAATGAATTTGCAAATTAAATTGTTTCTTATAAAATGATCTCTCGTTTTACATTCTAGTTTTCGCGTACCAGACATGCTTGAGTAAATTTTTACAATATTATTGAATTCTGAATGGATACTTTCGCCAACTTGCTCTTTGTAAAATCCAAGACCAACTCCCAATACGCTCAAAAAAACTCATATGTGATTGTGATTTTCTAACATGTGCATTTTTGGAGTTGTTGATTCATTAGGCCAAGTGCTTCTAAAAAACTTCATTAGTTTGCGCAAACTAATGAAGTTTTTTAGAAGCACTTGGCCTAAAGAACCAATGGCCTAATGGCCTAATGACCTAATGGCCTAACTTGGCCTAATGACCTAATGGCCTAATGCAATTGCATACAGTTGTTTCTACAAAACAAACTAACAAGTATAAAAAAAAAAACATAATAAAATAATACTCTATATTTTACATATATGACAAAATATCTTCATCAATATTTATTAAAAATTATAAAACTCCTTAAAAAAAACTTCTGCAAATAAAAAACTACTTCTGTAATGCAATTATTAATGAAAAAATTACCGAAACTCTTTATATTTTCTTCGTTAAATAATATAAATTTCATTGCATTGTGACACTTTGAATATATGTGAAATAAAATTTTAAATTTTTGTTGTATGTCAACTGCTTCAATATAAATTGGATGTTCTTGATCTGTTATGTTATTAAAAACTTTTAAGGGAATAGCCACATAACTTTTTTATGCTATCAACCTGAAAAATTAAATAAATATATATTCATTTGTGTATACTATTTTATTAAAGTAGATCAGAAATGTTAACTGGGAATGATAGTTAAAATATTTAATGCAGAGATGACAAAAACCTGCATAATATACAGATGTAAAAAATATTTTAGTTCCTGAAAATAAAGATTTATATAAAAAAACATGTACCTTTAAAATTTTGTGAACATGATTTCCAATGAACGAGCAACTGTGATAAGCTTGTCGTTGTACTCCACAGTACTGCAAAACAGATTCGATTTCCTTAAATATCGGCCCCATTCCTTCTATTAATTTAAATGTTGAGGATTCTGTCATTTTTCCCTCCTGCAAAATTAAATGTAGTTATAGATGTGTACAAAATCCAGATAATACAGTCATTGAAATATTTAAAAAAATAATGCCCTTTAAAATAAAACACTATGCCCTCAAAATTATTTCCAGTACTATTTAATGTTGATTTCTTTTTTATTCTCTTTTATTTTAACAATGCAATTCTCTCAGAGTACATTTACTGCAAGTAATCTGTATTTTGAGGGTTTTGAAGTACTTTAGCGACTATTGTATCTTGAATAAAAAGAATTTTTGTATTTATATTTTATACTTTATATTATATAATAATATAAAGTATAAATGGTTTGAGATCCTCAAAAAACATAAAATCAAATATTATGAAATAAAATAAAATATTATGATATAATATATTGTCATAAGTTATATATAAATTATATTACTTATTTTATATATACAATAAATATAATAAAGTATAAATGATTTACCGACGCTGTGGTACCGGTCATCAGCCAAAGAATCCGATGCATGGAGAGCTTGGAGAGTTTGCTGGGCCTATTAATACTTTAACGAGAAATAGTCTCGTTTGCATCATTGAACAATTTACAAAACAAAAAAGTTTTTAAACTTCTTAGTGGATTGCATACTTATTTTTGTTGCAAAACAACTTAGAGATTTATTATCGTTTCCGAGTTTTATAAAAGTTGACATTAAAATTTAAAGCAACAAAAAGTTTTCTATGAGTGATTAAGGTGTGGTTAAAGTTTAGGAAGAAATTTACCATATTTGGAGGTGCAAAACTATAGTTGGAGGGGAATTCAATTATATCTCTAGCTAGCTGTAGCTTATTTGAAAAATTAAATTTATAAATTCAATTACCTCTTTCATTTTTCTACAAATACTACCATGGTTGCTGCTCAAAGGAGCTATCATCTCCAGTTCTATTAAATAAAACTCATTCTCGTTTGATTTGCCGTTCAGCTAAGTCTCATTTGTTTACTGTTAACAAGTTACTGTAAACAAATTAGAGTTAGCTGAATGACGAATTAAACTGCAAAATCTCATTTGTTTTATTTGTCCCTATATTTGTCCCTGCATACTCTAAAAACTTTTCTTCGTCTAGTTTTTTTCCCCGCACTTTAACCCATTGGAACTTGCTCCCACCTTCATGTTTTCCTGACTCATACAACCTAGAACATTTCAAATCTTCTGTCAAATGTTTTTTAATAATTTTCATCATTCATATTATAAATAATATATATATATATATATATATATATATATATATATATATATATATATATATATATATATATATATATATATTATATATATATATATATATATATATATATATATATATATATATATATATATATATACATATATATATATATATATATATATATATATATATATATATATATATATATATATATATAATATATATATATATATATATATATATATATATATATATATATATAAAACTGTAAATAATTTTAATTATTTTATTAATTAGTTTTCTTAATCAAGTGTATTATCGAATTTTGAAACTAAACATTTAAATGTTTTTTTATCAATGTAAACTAACATTTAAAATTTGCATTCTGTTATCATTACTCTATACAACAATATACAGTATTACTATATACCTGAAACATCACATTTGTGATATTATATAAATAAAGGAAAGTGGGTTAAAAATATAAATTAAAATAAACAATATATTAGCTTATAGACTTGAAAAATAGTCTAAAGTTTAAAAAATCTTCACAAGGTTTGAACATTTTTTTAAAATATATAAACAATATGTGAACATTGATTATAAAGATGCCAATATTTATTTAATCTTTAAAAGTTGTTGCTATGGGATTCTTTCATAAAAAAGTTGCTATGGGATTCTTTCATAAAAAAGTTGCTATGGGATTCTTTCATAAAAAAAAGGTAAATCATTTTATACAAAAAAATTAAAATAATTAATAATTGCTTTTCGAAAAATAAATTTAAAACGTTTAAGTACGTTTTTTAAACTTTTTTTAAACATTTTTAGGTTATGATATATAATCTAATCAGATTATACGATAATGTATAATCTAACATATTCTATAATTTAACAAGTAGATTATTTTTATTTATTTATATAATCTAGTCAATTGTGTATTTTTGGCTATATTAACTTTTTAACTTTATTTATAAACAAAATTTTATTTTTCCTGGCATCATCTGTCAAACTAATTCTTGTTTATTAAATAAAAATAGTTGCGTTAAAGTTCGTAGCATGCAGTGCTTAGTCGGCACAAAGTTCTTATTAAAAAACATAATTTTGTTTATCTAAGTAGATATAAAGCAATTCTAACCATTGAAATGATAATTTCAAATTACACAAACACACTAAGTGGATTTTCTATGTTTGCTATAGAAAATAAAAATGTGAAAAAGTATCTTTAAAAAGAATATATAATATAGAGAAAAAGCTATAATTTCTTTTTCAGATTTTTGATGAAAAATCAAAAGATTTTGCAAATGTTTAGAGTATTACATAGCATATACATATACGTATGTTTTATGTACAAGATATGAGGTAAACTTAAGGTTTCATTACAGATTTTTTAAACAATTATTATAAGCTCGAAACGAAATCCAAAGAAAACAACTCATATAAGTATTAATAAAAACATTTTGTTTATTTCCAATTTATTTAATTAAAAAATGTTATTAGGATGCGATATCGTGTTTTTTTTTTTTTTTTTTTTTTTTATATATAAAAATAAGACGATACACATCTTTACTTACTTTTTTTTTGTTTTTTTTTTTGTAATTCTTTAAATGTTTTTTTTTTTAACTCTTATTAATCACTTTATGCTTGAAAATTATCAATTATCATTTTTTTAGATAATTATTAATCTTTATTAAAAATTATCAATTATCATTTTTTTAGATAATTATTAATCTTTATTAACATAAAATGACTTCGAATTATATAAACTTTGCTTTTGCATTTGTTTTACTGTTAACAACAATAAAAACGGAATATTTAGGATGCAAAAATCAACATTTTGAATTAAATGATGTAGAAAATGCGTCTGTGATAATAGGTGGTTTGTTTCCAGTTCATTACTGGCATCAAAAGTATCAAAAATATGTATTGAATAAACCTGGACTTTTATGGGTTGAAGCAATGATATTCGCAGTTGATGAAATTAATAAAAGCAGTTTTTTACAAAATGAGAAAGTTGGTTATCGCATTCATGATAGCTGCAATAACATAAGCATTGCAATTGAATCCGCATTAGAGATTACTCAGGGTTTCACTCCTTATAATGCAATGGACGGTAAAGACGCTTGTCAATGTAACTCACTCATCAAAAGAGCTGTAGCTTTAGTTGGTGATGCAGCATCTGACACTTCGGTCAATGTGGCAGCCATTTTATCTTCAACTGGGACTACTCAGATTAGCTATTCAGCAACATCAACTGATCTTAATGCTAATTTATATCCTACGTTTTTACGGACAATACTACCGGATAATTTTCAGGCTGTTATGATCGCTGACTTATTATTGCATAATAATTGGACATACGTAAGTGTCGTTGCATGTGACGATGATTATGGTAGAGTAGGATTTAGTGAACTACTCTCAAGACTACAAGCCAAAGGAGTTTGTATTGCAGTTAAAGAGATTTACGATATAAAAGGTGACCCTAACACATACCAAATGAAACTTATAATAAAAAAACTTCTAAAGGACAAAAAAGCAAATATAATTGTTCTTTGGTGTCAAAGACCGGAAGCGCTTCGTTTTTTAAAAACTGCTGAATCATTAGATTTATATAACAAAACCTGGATAGCTACAGAAACTTATGGTTTCAGCGACGAGATATATGATATAAATCCGAATGTTGTAAAAGGAATGCTTGGAATAATTCCTTTGCAAGTTTCATATAAACCTTTTGAATCCAGACTAAAATCTATAACCCCTAATTCGGTATACAAAAATCCATGGATTCAGGAGTATTGGCAAGAATTAAATTGCACCACAAATAGCAAAGCTAATTGCTCTAAATTCAGTTTAAACGATCTACCTAAAAGCAAGTATGCAGAAGTTATACATGCAGTTCAGTCAATAGCAACGGGATTACATTCGTTTATTAAAGTTGAAAGTTCCTTGACTATAAAACCGCAAAAACTTTTATCATATATAAAGAACGTCAGTTTTATTGGAATAAATAACTTATCAATATCTTATGACGAACTAGGAAACCCCAGAACAGCAGGTTATTCTATAACGAACTTAAAACAAAATGATAATAAAAAACTGTTCTGGGAAGTTGTTGCTTCTTGGGATTATTCGTCGCGAAAAATAAAATTAATTTCCAATAAGCAAATAATATATTCTGGAGGTTTAGCAAGTTCCCCATTTTCATCCTGTAAAGAAAAATGTAAACCAGGATATTTCGCACTTTCATTTGAAAGTTCATGTTGTTGGGAATGTGTGAGATGTGCAAATGATAGTATACAGCCTTTATTTGGACAAGATAATTGTTCTAGTTGTACTGGAAACAAAATACCGAACATGATGAGAACAAAATGTGTTATACCTAAATTAATATGTATTATGGCAGATAGCAAAGAAGGCGTTTGTTTGATTCTTTTTTCTGCTATTGTATTTCTGTTAGCTTTATTTTCTGCCGTTACATTTCTCAAGTATAAAGAAACTCCTATTGTAAAAGCTTCAAACATAAATCTATCTTTAATGCAGCTTTTGAGTATAATGTTTACTTTAATGTTGCCATCCTTTTGTATTCAAAAGGTAACTACTAAAAGTATTTGTAGTGGTCAGTTGACTTATTTTGCGTGCTTCAACTCAATTACAGTTTCAGTGACCTTCATTAAAGCTGATCGTTTGTTAAGAATATTCAATTGCAGTAAATCAGGACATTTACCGGGTCGTCTAAGAAATAAGACTATTGTCCAAACATACTCACAATGTTTTTTGTTGTTAATTGCAAAACAATTCTTACCAGTTGCTGTTTTAACATTTACGAGTATTGTCTTGTGTATTGTTTTTTTCTTTTCTTTTCCAATTGAAGTGAGCAGCGAATTGACAGTTCTGCAAGATGATGACATAAAAATTGAATATTTTTGTGGTGGCTATTATGATATAATTTTGTTTTCCGTAATAGCGTATGTAGTTTTAATAGCATCTATTTGTGGAGTATATGCTTTTAAAGCACGTAATATGCCTGCTACGCACAACGAAGCGCAATTAACATGCTTAGCAATCTTTCTATTTATGATATCATGGTTGTTATTTATTCCAACTTACATGAGTGCAGACGATTATAAACAAAAACTTATAGTTTGGTGTTTTATGTCTAATATATCTACGTCGTGCTTCTTTCTTGCTATGTATACACCAAAACTGTATTTTATTTATTTTAA